GGAGACTGACGAAGTGGTCGCGGGGAATGGCTAGGCAGTCGGGAAGGCGCGTGGCAAGGAAGTAAAGGGTAGAGCCAAGCGGGGGAGGCAGGACAATGAGCTAGGCCTCAGTGATAGCAACGTGGTAGCTAGTCTCAAGGGCGCACAGGTGAGTGGCAAGATCAGTAGCACTGGGGAAGGACGCAAGATCAGGGAAGAGCAGGGTGAGAAGGAGACGGCCGGCAGAGGTGGAAGAGGTGACAGAATCTAAGTACTCCTTTGCAGTCTCTACAGTTTGAAAGCGGGGATGCTCAGACAGGGGGAGGGCGTGACTGATAGCAAGCTGGGCGATTGTGTCGCACGGCTCCCACACAGAGCGGGCGAGCTTAGCAGCTATAAAAGCCTCATGCTCAGCAGGCATGGGGGTGTCAGGGAGGCTAGCAGGTGGGTCGGGGTAGGGGAGCTTACTGTCAACGTTGATGGCCATCCTGATGCTGACCCTTCAGCTGGCGGCGGAGGTCGGCGAGCCACGCCTCAAAATTGACCGCCAAACCCTCCGCGTCCAGGCGGAGCACAGCATCCGCCATCACCACGGCTGCAGCAGCTGACGACCGCTAGAGGAGGAGGAGTAGCAGGGGGCATGCAGGGGCGGTGGAGAGCATTGATAATCGGTGAAGCTACGGCAGAGGAGACAGCTGGCGGAAGCGCCGCCGTTAAGGGACCGGCAGGTCGAGGCGGCACAGCGGCGGGACAAGCTGGGGCGGCGCGGCACGCTGGGGCCAGCGACAAGGTGGGCGGCTCGGCTAGCAGAGGCCAGCTGCAGGCCGGCGGCGAGCAAGAGCCGGCGGGAGCTAGGGCCGGCGGGAGCTGGGGCCGACGATCTAGGATCGGCACGAACTGGGGCCGACGAGCTGGGGCCAGCGTGCACTGGGGCCGCAAGCTGGGGCTGGCGTAAGCTAGGGCCAGAGCAAGCTGGGGCCGGCGAGCAGGTGCCGGTGCGAATTGGGGCCAGCGAGAAGGGGCCGATGCGCCAGGGCGAGCTGGGGCCGCCACGAGCTGGAGCCAGCAGGAGCTGGGACTGGCAAGCAGGGGGCGGCGGGAGCCGGGGCCGGCGAGCAGGGGGTCGGCACGAGTCGGGGCCGGCGAGCTGGGGTCGTCGGGCTGGGGTCGGCGTGAGCTGGGGCCAGCGCGCAGGGGCCGGCAAGCAGGGCCCGGCATGCAGAGGCCGGTAAGTGAGGGGTCGGCGAGCCGGGTGCCGGCGAGCGATGGGCCGGCGAGCGAGGGGACGGCTAAAGAGGGGCTGGCGAGTGAGGGGCTCACAAGCGAGGGGCCAGTGAGCGCGGGGCCGGCGAGCAAGGGGTCGGCGTGCGAGGGGCAAGCGGCAGGCTAGGAGTCGCGCGGCTTGCGAGGGAACATCCGACGTGTGTTAGGGCGGCTAGGGCGGGCTAGGGCGGCTAGGGCGGTCTAGGGCAGAAGAGCGGGTTGGGGGACCTAACCTAGCAGATACCATCTCAGAATAACGCAATGACTAGAATAGAGAATACAGGATGGTTTGTGCTTGTGTGTTGTACTCTCTAAAAGCAACACTAAATGTCCCCTTCGCCCTTGGCTTCACAACACGTCACCCTGAGTCCCTGATTGACACAGTCAAGCGCCCCACGTGAGAATCGAGGTCTTGCAGGAAAGATGGAAATGTAAACGCTCGAAGTCAAAATTGCGCGCAACGAACGTTTACATTTCCGTCCACAAGCCCAACACCCCCAAGCCCAACAACCCCAATCCCAACACCCCCAAGCCTAACACCTCCATACCCAGCAGCAGCTGTGGGGTTCTACAGCTCGTCGACCCCTCGGCAGGTGAGGCGGCGACGTCAACGGCGGGGGCAGCGGCAGCGGAGGCGGCGGCGGTGGCGACGGCGGCGGCGGGCGGTGGTGGAGCAAGCAGCACATGTGGCGGCAGCGCCCGAGGCACCCTGCAGCGTGGCACACTCTGCATCGATGGGGGAGGACAGCACGAGACCGCCAGCAGCTGCGACGGGGAAGAGGGGAAAATGCAGAGGAGGGACGAGTCTACAGTGGCGACGCCGGTTAGTGAATCGCCCTGGCTGGCGAGCTCGCTGGCGTGCGGGCGTGGTGGCTGGCGCTAAACCAACGCGCTGGCCATCCGTGCGCTGGTACATCGAAGCCGCCACGGTGGCACGACGAGGCCACGGCAGCACAACGAGGCCGCCATGGCAGCACGCCACGGTGGCGCGAAAGTGAGAGAAGGGGAGATACGCTCTGGAACGGAAGCATGAGGAGTAGGCTCAGCAGGATCAACCTGCTCTGAAACCATATTATGAGAAGGGTTTAGCTAGGTAGGAAGAAAGTGGCGAGGGAAAAGAGGTTGGACCAGTGAAGAGAGAGAGTGAAAGAAGTGGTTTGTACCCTCTACAGTAAGCACCAATCATAGTAATGCACCCGCCTAGCCTACATATACATATATATAGATATATATGTTGACATTTTATTGCATACATGTGCTAGTACGCAATATGCTTGCAATAGTTGTGGTAGTTTTGTTTGAATTCTTATACATTGGCTAAGTCTTCGTATGACGGTCAGACGAAAGTTCAAAGCCAAGTCTGATTTGCAGAGACCCTGACACCAACCCTCGCAGAGACCCTCACACCAACTATAAGGAAATTCCCTTTTCCTTACCGGGCACGACTACAGCGCGTACGCCATCGACTCTCAGAAATCTGGGCCCGGCCAACTTCTTCGATCCCGAACCACTTTGCGAACCCAAATCTAGACCTGCGGCGCTTCCGTAGCTTTCGCCAACCGGACCGCCCCAACCTGTTCGCGTGGTTCTCTGCTAGCTCTGTTCGTGCCTATAAATGCCTAGGCCCTCGATTGTATCGACACTCTTGAATCACAACTCTTTTGTTACACTACCTGTTTTTACTCTGATTAATTCATAACAGCTGGTATCAAAGCTCCGTTCCTGTCCACTCAGTCTTCCGTAGAGTAGTCCGTTTATATCGGGAGAGGACCCAACAGGGTTGAGGGCTGGCCTGCGGTTGGTAGGTGAGCTCGTTAAAGCTCCTCCAACTAGAAGCGTGTGCACCCTCAGATCTGTCAGGTAAAATTTCCAGCATGCCTACCACGCCGAAAACCTCTGCCCGTCGTAGTGTTAGGAACGTGACTCAGGAGGAGTTTGACGAGTTGCAAGCAATGGCGGCTACAGTGACAACATTGCAGGCCCAGCTTCAACAACTCGCCGATAAGTTTGAGTCGCTGGGAAGCGAAGTACAGACGCTGCGCAACGAAAACTCGTCGCTTCGCCAGACGCGGGGTGAAACGCGTCAAGGGCGGCCCGTTACCCGAGACGAAGATGATGCGAGTGAAGCGAGGGCGTCGGCGACTCCTGAAGCAGTTGAAGAAGTCCACAGCGAGCCGTGGGCGGCCATTAAAATCAAACCACCCATGCCTCCGCCGTTCAACACGACCGACAGGACAACTATAGTGAGCGAGTGGGTGTTTGCCATGGATGTCTACTTCACGGCAGCACGTATTAATGACAATGCGTTACGTGTCAACTTGGCTGTTTCGCTGCTGAGGGGACCGGCACTCGACTGGTGGCGCATGCATCCAGACGAGGGAGGAGCCTTGGCAGGGAATCAACGGGTGGTAGATGGGGAGCACGATTCATCAACGGCTCAAGCAGAACCGATCTTTGGGTTGGCCACGATCCGCTCGTGGAAAGCGTGGGGCGAAGCATTGAAGAGCCGATTCGAGCACATATCCATGTGCGAAAATGCTTGCACAAGGCTTCGGATATGGAGACAATTGGGCTCTGTCCAAGAATACACGGCTTTGTTCTTGACGTTATGCGATCAAATCAGAGGGTTTAGCGAAGACAAGAAGATCGATCGCTAAACCCTAAACCCTAAACCCAGAGATTCAGCAAGAGATTGTCCTCCGAGCCCCTGCAACATTCAACGAAATTTTTCGAATCGCGGATGCGCTGGACGCAAGACGTGGACTCGCGAGGGCGGGTTTTTGAGAGGGAAATCGCTTTCGAGGCCAGCCCCAACACACATCAATCAACAGCGTGGACGTGTTTGCAGCCCGGGTATTTTCCGGATGCTGTTTCCACTGCAACCAGCCAGGCCACATGGTGAGGGACTGCCCGCAGCTGAAGAAGAACTTAGCTAACGACGGGAAGCAGTCAGGAAATGGAGATCGTCAATAGCAGATGGGACACCTACTGACTTGACTGCGTCGCCCAAACGCCAACACCCCCACCAGGTTATAGTGCTGATTTGGGCAATCGGCCATGCCTGGCTGAATAAGGGGGGTGAACTGGTTGATCGCCCTGTGCTGGTTGAGGGAAGAGTTGGCGACATCGGCATCAAAATATTTGTTGATGGTGGGGCAAGCCACTGTTTGATGGATGTGATGAGAGCGAAGAAACTCTTATTACAGCTGGAACGCTGCATGCCCGAAATCAACACGGGGTTGGTTGACGGCACCCCACTGGCGATTTGGGAGCGCGTGCCTCACGTGCGAGTCACCTGTGGCGAAAAAATCAGTTTCACGATGAAGATGTTGGCGACAACTTTGGACGGGTGCGACATGCTGCTGGGACGCGATTGCTGCGCGAATACAACCCGAGCATCGACTGGCCGACGGGCGATTATCGAATAATGTGGAGTGGCGAGTGACAATGGTTACCCAAGTGGAGCAGACAATACTCGACAGCATCGACGGTCAGCACAGTGACTATAAAACGCACGATGATTCGAAGAGCGCAATTGTATGCCATCCGATGGATCGCATCAATGGCTATCGACACGCCGACCGACATCGACAAACTCTGCGCAGTTGTACTGGACAATTTGGCAACAGTGATTCAGAAACACGCCGACATTTTTCCAAATGACCTACCGGCGGGCTTGCCACCTCAGCGGCCGCATGACCACAAAATCGAGCTCGAGCCCGGTGCGCAGCCTACTGTTCAGACCCAATGGCGGCTGACTCAGCCTGAGTTAGATGAACTTCGACGCCAACTGGACTACCTGCTCAAGAAAAGGTTCCGTCCGCCCCAGCACATCACCATTTGCAACTCCGATCCTGTTCACCCCGAAGAAAGATGGCGGTCTGCGTATATGTATCGACTACCGTTCCCTGAATCGGGTTACCATCAAGTCTCGCTACCCCATTCCACGTGCAGACGACCTCATCGACCAACTTTGCGGGGCCATAGTTTTCTCGAAGATTGACCTGCGAGGCGGTTACCACCAACTTCGCGTGCACGAAGCTGACTGCTACAAGATGGCGTTTCGAACCCAGTATGGGAGTTACGAGTACACGGTCATGCCCTTCGGCTTAACAAACGCGCCTTCGACATTCCAGTTGACCATGAACGAGGTTTTTCGGCCACTGCTGGATAAGTGCATCATCGTGTACCTCGACGACATTCTCGTCTACATCACAACCCGGGAGCAGCATTTAAAGGATTTGGAGGCAGTTTTCTCTCTTCCCAATTGACAGTCAAGCAAGGGGCCTATTATCTAAAATCCGGTACCAATCGGATTTGGGTTCCCGCCTATCATACCCTACAGGAATTACATCTAGGAGACACATAACTCGAATTGCTCGGGTCACTACGACATCGACAAAATCGCAAAATTACCGAGCCGAATTTTTTTCTGGCCTGACCTACCGACAGACGTGTAGCAATATGTCACCTCCTGTACCACGTATCAACGCATGAAGTCTTCCCGACTTCGACCTGCTGGATTGCTGCAGCCGCTCGAGCCACCCAGCCGACCCTGGCAACAAGTGACGATGGACTTCGTAACTGGCCTGCCAGCTGGTTCAAGCGGTAACGACACGATCCTCATCGTTGTTGACCGGTTGACCAGAATGGCCCATTTTGCCATCTGCAAGATGACAATAACTGCCGAACAGACAGCGAAACTGGCATCCCATCGGCAATCATCAGCGATCGTGTCCCACGGTTCACGTCCAACTTTTGGACAAAAACCTGGCAGCAGTACAGCACACGTCTGCATCTATCCACGGCGTACCACCCGCATTCGGACGGTCAGACTGAGCGTACCAACCAGACGATGGAGCAGCAGATTCACACAACATGCACAGACCCGGCCCAAAGGGAAGACGCCCTTCCCTTGATCGAGTTTGCGTACAACAATGCCCCATCGGCCACGACTACTCAGTCCCCGTTCATCGAAAATCTCCGACAATCTCAGCAAAAAGTTGTTGATGCCATCCTAAAAGCCAGCCAAAGGGCTAAGCAGCAAGCTGACCGACGACGCCGAGACTTAACACTTGTCTCTGCGCAATTGGTCCTGCTTGACACCAGGAATTGGGGAATCCCCCTCCCAAATAAATTACGAGCAAGATTTTGCGGACCCTTCCGCATCATCCACATGGTGACACCAGTTACCGCCCAGCTGCAACTGCCGGCCGACTGGCGAATTCATGATTCGTTTCACGCCAGTCTTGTTAAATTATATATTTGATATACATAATGGTAGGCTTGGTGGGTGTTTCCTGATCCTAATGTAGAGGGTACAACCCCCCTTCTTGTATCCCTCTCTCTTCTAGCCCAAACTCTCCCCTCTTCTCTCTCGATATTTCTCCTAGCCAAAAACCTCACGCCATGTCTATGGCTTCTTCCCTACCCACCTAGCTCCTTCTAACATGGTTTCAGAGCAGGTCCGTCTGCTCGGGCCTGCTCATCACACTTCCGCAAAGTCCGCTCCTCGCTCCTGTCCTTTCCGCGCCGCCACCATGGCCATGTCGTGCTGCTGTGGCGACGTCTATGCGCCAGCGCACAGACGTCACAGATGGCAGCGGCCAGCGCCCGGTCTTAGCGCTGGCCAGCACGCCTGCATGCAGCCAGCATGCCACACGGGGCGGCACGCTCCCGGGCTCTGCTGCTGAAGCCTCGCCCCCTTCCCCTGCGTCTCCTCTTCCTTGCCGCAGCCGATGGCTGACTCGCGCCGGCCGTCCCACCGTCGCAGAGCCCGGCCACGCCGCCGAGTGCTGTGAGCTCCGCCGCCGCCGCAGCTGTCGTCGAAGCCACCGCCGCCGCAGCTGGTGCCGCTGGCCATGCTGCTGCACGCTGCCACCGCCACCGCTCTCGACGTTGCCGCCGTCACCACCATTGCAGCCGCTGCCCTCGCTGTCGACGTCGCCGCCTCACGCGTCGAGGGGTTGACCATGCTGGAGTAGCCGTCGCTGCTGCTGAGTATGGGGGTTCTAGGCTTAGGGGGTGTGTGGCTTAGTGTGCTGTGTGTGTGGTGTGCTTTCGACTACCAAGCCTAGGGGGTGTGTTAAATTATATATTTGATATACATAATGGTAGGCTTGGTAGGTATTATTGGATCCTACTGTAGAGGGTACAACCTCCCTTCTTGTATCCCTCTCTCTTCTAGTCCAATTTCTCCCCTCTTCTCTCTCGATATTTCTCCTAGCCTAAAACCTCACGCCATTTCTATGGCTTCTTCCCTACCCACCTAGCTCCTTCTAACAAGTCTCCTGCGACCGTTCGTCCCGAATGCGACCAATCTCGACCGTCAACATATTAATCCTACGGTCAACCCACTACCCGAGCCGACGACAGCGCCGTCCAAGATCCTCGCTCACTGCGTACGGGAACATCGAGACACGGCAGCCGTTGATTTCCTTGTACGATGGGTCAATCGAACGAGTGACGACGACCTCTGGGTTCCCGCAGCCACGCTCGGCGAAAACAGAGTTGCCCGGGACTACTTACACCGACGACGTGTCCGGGATGTGGGTAGTCTCTGTCAACATATATATATTATATATATATATATGTGTGTGTGTGTGTGTGTGTGTGTATACGCTAGGTAGGTGTACTGCATATCCTGGATCCTACTGTAGAGGTTACAACCCCCCTTGTATCCCTCTCTCTTCTAGTCCATCTCACTTCTCTCTCGACATTTTTCTCCTAGCCTAAAATCTCTCGCTACTTTCCTATGCCTAGTTCTTAGCCTAGTCCTATCTTAGCAGTCCCATCCCGGAAGGGGGGGTGGTGTAAGGAAATTCCCTTTTACTTGCTGGGCTCAACTACAGCGCGTACGCCCTCGACTCTCGGAAGTCCAGGCCCGGCCAAGTTCTTCGGTCCCGAACCACTTCGCGAACCCAAACCTAGACGTGCGGCGGCTAGGGCTGATTTTATCAGACTATTTTACTCTGATTGTCTGAAATTTCAGACCAAATTTTTGGCCGATCCTTAATTTTCATACTTGCCATTTTATAAATGCTGAACCCTTCAGAGTAATATGTTTTAAGTCCCCAACGGCCAGAGTCAAGTCCTTTCACACACACCCCGCCCCGCAACCTATAAAATCTGGCAAGTCCTAGCAGCCAGAGACAGTTCCCCCCAGCACAATCAGCAGCCCATAAGAATCGTTGGAAGTCCTGTTCTAGAGACACCCCTCTTTCACCCCCAACACCCACAACAATCGGCTAAGTCTTCCATTTCTAGAGACATTCTTCCCACACCCCTTTCCCCTGAAAATTTTTGTCAAGACACTGATGCCTCAGCGCACTAACGGGGGTCGACACTGAAACAAACACTGGCGAGAGTTACAAAGTTTCCCTCCTGGTTGGCGCATGATCCCCTCTCCCCCAACCCCCAGCCTCACCAGGTCGCAACGAATTTCTTTTTGCTAAGTCCTCCTACCCAGTGACATTTCTTCCCTACACACCTCGCAACCCCAGAAATTCGACTAAGTCCCCACAGCCAGACACATTCCTCCCACACCTCCTGCGACCCTGAAGTTTCGGCTAAGTCCCCACAGCGAGAAATATCCCTCCCTCAGCTCTCGCAACCCAAAAACATCGGCAAGTCCCTTGCAACCAGTAAAAAAATCCTCCCACAAACCCCCGCAACCCGCAATCCTGCTTATTACCCGACTTTTGCGAAGTTCCTAAAAGGGGTAACGAGAAAATCATTCCTAGCCTGACTGAGTCATCGGCTATAATTTTTTTGTTCACCCTGAGGGCTATGTTTTCAATATTTGGAAATTTGAAATCTTGGAATTCTCAGGGTGCACAGAACGCGACTAGGGTTGCCTAATAACAGCCGTAGGCATACCCAAATTGCCACATCTTCTCTAGTAGTGACGATTTCATTGCCGGGACAATGGGGAGCAGCAGGTAGGGTCTTCGCTATATCTGGCTGTCGTAATTTCTTTTCTGATTTCTTAGACGATGTGAAACTAACTCTAAAAAATCACACTGTCCGCGGCTTAGTTGAGGGTGTGTTCCTACGTAACGCTATGTCAGGCAACTTCATGTCATTGGAGATTTCGCCAGTCAAATTTGCCAGTCAATAACAGTTTTGATACGAAGTGACGTGACCTTGTCTCGCGTAGGAACAGGCCCTGAGGGGGAAGATTCGAAAAGGAGGGGAGAGGGAATCGAATCCGAGGGGGAAAGGGAGAGGGAATCCAAACCGAAGGGAGGGGGGAAGCTAAACGGAGGGGGAGGGGGGGGGAAGAAACGGAGGGGAAGGGGGGTTTCGAAACGGAGGGGAGGCGGGGAAGCAAAACGGGGGGGGGGGCGAAACGGTGGGGGAGGGGAGGGAATTTGAAAATGGAAGGGGGGGGGGGGGGGGGGGGGGGCGAAACGGTGGGGGAGGGGGGGGGATTTGAAAATGGAGAGGGGGGGGGGGGAGGGGAAGGATCGAAACGGAGGGGAGGCAGGAAGGTGTGGAATTGTGCGGTGGGAGAAACTTCGCGCCCTTGCAGCGCCCTCGTTGATCGATCGTGGGCGTTAATCACTTGCGACCATCGAATGGTTGAAAAATGTCGAAACGATCGCAATCGATCGTGACCGTCACGTCTTGATAGACTTTCAGTTGACCAAACGAGCAGCTGTTGAGAATTTTGCCTAATAGGAACGACTGTTATTAGAATGCGGAATTTACTCTTAGTCGAATGGAGCTAAAAAAAAAAATTTGAAATCCTCTCTCCTTGTTGCCAAATCAGCATTTTTTTAGTACACGACCCTAATGAAAAGGCAAACTTTGCTAGGAAACACTGATGAATCAGCGTAAATTTTCTTGAGGAGGCTGACGAAAACTTTCTTTTTGGAACCTGACACTGAGCAATCAGGGTATCCTAAAACCAATCGGGGGGTCTGGTGTGAACTGTGAAAATACAAGATTTCGACTTGGGCGCAGGACTCTGAGTCGACATTTTGAACCCTGAGTATTTTGGGCTCGTTGACTCTTGGACACTGAGATTTCAGAGTAGCGAAATTTTGAAAAATGGCCCTTCAGATTCGGGAATGTTTTTGGGGGGCAAAATCAAAGTGCCATTTTTAAAACGTCAACCCTGGCGGCAGTGCTTCCGTAGCTTTCGCCAACCGGACTGCCCCAACTTGTTCGTGTGGTTCTCGGCTAGCTCTGTTCATGCCTAAAAATGCCTAGGCCCTCAATTGTATCGACACCAGGGCCTCAGATTGGTTTTAAGGTACAGTACCCTGATTGCTCAGCCCCCCCCCCCCCCCCCCCCCCCCCCACTTTTCCCTGATTTTCCAAGACAACGTAAAAAATTCCCGCTGAGCTAATAGGGGTGGCTAAAAACAAAAATCCTGAGTAAACAGGGTTGCACGCTAGAATGGCGCTGGACATCAACACTAGCAATTATTTGAAACAAGCATAAAATAAGCATGATCTACTTAAGCATCCTCCTCCTCATCCTCCTCAACTATGCTATCATGGTTTTCTCCAGGCACGTCTTCAGCTGGTTCCTTTCCCTTGCGGCTCTTCTAGGCCCTGCTCTGTGGGGCACAACTATATGGCTTTCTCTTCTTGTAAGCCCTCCAAATCTCTATCACGGCATCCCAGTCCGGCTCGTAATCTAACAAACTCATGCACATTAAAATCTCCTAGGCGAGAGTCCTTCAAGATGCCACGCAGCCAGCTTTTAATGACGTTCTGGTGGGAGAACCCGCGCTCACTCTCCACAGTACTTAGAGGAAGTGCTGACGTTTCACACCACGGCTTAACAAGGTTGGGGTAGCTGTGCTCCCAGTCCGGTGTCTTCAGAATGGTTGTCAGCCCTGTGAAGAATCCCTTCTCGCTTTGCGGCAGCGCTGCAATGACAGGGGTGAAGTGGGGAATCTCCTTGACGGCCGCCTGCGTGTCGATGCCTGTCAACGAGGTAAGGGGAAGTTAAAAAATCGTGTTGGACTTCAGTGCTTGATGACACAAAAGACCACTTGATAATGAGCTAAACCCTTACCCGGTAAGACCTCTTCAGCTCCCTCCGCGTGGTACAGAAGGACAAAGGAATGGAACCACTCGATGCACTGCTTGATCCTGGCCGCACGTGCCCATAGGAACGGCCACTGGTCGGCACAAAACAGCATGATGCCACTCAACTGCTTCATGTCACCCAGCCGCTCCTCCAAATTGTTGGCCATGGCCTCCGCCATTGCCATGCACAGCGTGATGCAGTCATCGTGCTTCCCCTCGCCCGGATAGCCAATGTC